CTAATCGAGTAGATAGGATATCCGTCAATGAGTAATGTCAAATAGAGTAGCTATAGGTAGATTGATTGTTCTGAACTGTGTCTTTCTCACTTAAATACGGCTGGCGAAATACACAATTGCAAATGGCCAGCCGGATTATCCATCTGAAATCATAATCAAATCCAGGATTATTTGAGAGGGGTCAGCGGATGCGAAGCCGACCCTCCTCCCCCCCCCTCCCTGAAGGCCCCCGAAAATTTTTGTTAAATCCGCCACTGAAGTTGGCACCTAATCTAGGCAAATACCCAATTAACTTCGATTGGACCTTCGACGGTGCAATGGGACAACGAAAGAAAATAAATGCATACATTTATGGTCAGTGGTATCCAGTTTGACATTTGCCCAGACAGATTGACAATTTGACCATATATGAAACTCTAACAACACACAAACCTTCATACATTCACGCCCGCAAATGATTTGTCTAAATTTTTTTTCGTACGAAAGTCTGTTTTTTTTCAATTTGTAAAATGTTTCTCTTCTCCCTTGGAAGCTTATTTAAAAGCCCTTTGTGAGTTTCCTATTAAAAGACTTTACATCTACAGGGGCATATGGCAGTTGGTTTGACAAAGAGCTAGACTGGTGGACACACGAGAGACAAAACCCAAACGTTTTGTTCATGAGTTACGAGGAACGCATCAAGGTGAATATTTCAATCATATTATGGCTGGGGATTTCACTTGTAAACCAATGTTTCCAAAAATATGTGTATCGAATTTAAACATATGTTATACATTATACATGCATTGAGTTTTTCGGGAAGAAATGTACTAGAACAAAATTAAAATTACCTTGTTTAGAGTTTTGGACAACCCTGTGCATAATGATGTGTCGATTGGTGTGTGTGTGTGTGTTTGTGTGTTAAAAGAATTTTAAGAAAAAGAAAATTAGGAACAGAGAGAGAAATCGAGCGAGCAAGAGAGAAATTTTTCAACTTCCGTTTCTTAGGCACCTGAGGAATCTGTGAGGAAGGTAATCAAATTTCTTGATTTAGAAAATCTACCCATGGATGACAACTTCCTGCAAAATGTTGTAAAAAGAACTTCGTTTGAAAGCATGAAGAACGAAGACGGTCGAACGCTCACTAAAGGTTTAGCAATGCAAACAGGTACATTTTGCAGAAAAGGTGAGTATTTGGATTTCTAGTTGCTAAATATAAATGATCTTAATTGATACATTTGGCAAAATTACACCGACCACCGACAGTGTTTATACATGTCACTTGTTTCATATTCTGGCAGTACAAAGCGCACACTCTCCCTCAACACAATTACATATAGGCCTACTGATGCCTGAAACTGTTCCCCGTGGAAAATTGTCATTGGTCAAATAAAACACTCTTCAATGCAAGCTCTTTGACTGATATAGTCCCTTTATGAGAAATATGTATAACTCTTAAACTGGAACTTACAGTAACAACTGATCGACGTTGCAATCTCAACCTGAGTCCTTTCTCTAGGTAATGACCTGGATAGACTAGTCACATGATCTATTGTTATACGGTATGTGCTAGAGGCTGAACCTGAGGCCTCTTTTTCTTGCTGAGTGAACTTGTTGGGTTTTCCACCCGCTCGCAGATAGCTTCTGTGACGCCACGTTCCCTGCACTTTTCTCCCTGGTCCAGAATGTTGAATTCGAAGTCCTTCTCATCTATAATGTGACCAATGTCTCTGGTAATGGGCCCTTTATGTTTCTTTACTCGCAGTTTTAAAGCTTTTTTGTTTCTCCAATGTATGTTTCAGAGCTATGGAATCCCAGGAGGGCCAAGTGAAATACAAAGCAGTCCATAGCGACACATGCCGCACTATACACGACATTGGACTTGATCCTTTTCAGAATTTGTCCTCTACGTTAATAACTTTTCCTCTGAGCGGGTTTGAATGATGTAGAGATCCCAAGTGCTTAAAAATGGTATGTAAGACTGGGATGTACAAAATGATGTTATATTTGTCACCTTTTCACTTATTTTCCAAAAGCTGGTGAGAAATCTGAATGAGTATATCATATAGTCTACCTATGTATGGAATAGTTATTCTTACATTATACTAATCCCCAGTAGGTAGTTGGACTTTCTGAATCCTTCTTTTTGTTGGCTATTACAGTTGCCTAGTCAGGATACCCACAATTTTCTAATGGCTTCTTCATGTTAGTATCAGGGGCGGATCCAGAGATATTTTCTGAGAGTCTTCAAAATTATCTTTGTTGATCCATCCTCAATTTTTGACCGTCTTCCGTCAGAAAAAATTAGATACCCGTCAATGTAAACTTGAAAATCTGACCTTCTTCCTGAAGACGCAGAAGACGGCCTAAATCCGCCCCTGAGTATGTTCATTAGGGACAAGATCTTGATTGCTAAATACTGTGTCAGCTCTACTCTGTGTTGTATAGTTTCTTTTACTACAAGTTTGTATATGAGGGTGGTGGGAGTCAAACTGTAAATTGTTGTTAGTATGTGTTGGTTTACGGTACACTTGGGTGGTTAAGGTGCCCACTTATGCTAATGCTTGTGGTATGACTATAGATCAGGTGATCAGTTATCCAGGTGAAATGTCTCAGGTTGAGACCACAACGACGGTCTCAACCCCTAACGTAACCTCTTATATCAGAGTTATACATATTTCACATTGTAATTCTAATAGATGACTCAAATCATTGACTTATAGCCCCCCTTTTTTATATTAACTTGATAAAGGCGCTGTCATTTATTGTGCTTTCCCGTTGTTCAAAATTATAATTTTCAATATTTTCCAGTTGGTGAGTGAATTTGAATATTTAATAATGGACGATGGCAAGCTAAAAGCAATGTTCAATTGTTCAAGTTGAAACCCCATTATATTCATAACTATGTCTCCTTAAGAGGAATTCATTATAAAGCAGCCGTACTTTTCTGCATTGTTAAAAAGCGTTTCATACGTGTCAGTTTTGGATCCCAAATAACCAATAATAGGTTGTTTTTGATATTTAGGGCAAGTCGGAGACTGGAAGAACTACTTCACAGTAAAGCAGAACGAAGATTTCGACAAAAAATTCTTTGAAAAAATGAAGGAGACCGACTTGGCTGTGATGTTTTAGTGATTTTCATTTTTTTTATTAATTGTCAATTAAAAAAAAATTTTTTTCTTCGTTTATAATCTAACCCACAATAAAATCCAGCCTGTTTGGCATTTGTTACTTTATCATATCATGATCATAAAAAATTATTTACAATGAAAGTTGTCTAAAATCAATCCCTTGTTGCATTAAATAAACTAAACATTTGAAATAAAACTACCGAATGTGAAGGATCCCTTTTCAGAAACAATACTTTATTCTTAAGCAAACCTGGTCAAAAACATTAAGGACATTAATTTATGACAATGGGTTACTAAGGAACTTCTCGATGCATCTTGCGCCTTCAGCGTGTCGAGTGGCTTACACCGATGCTCATAAATTAAGCAACACCCCGTTTTTTTCATAAAAGATTATTCTGTCATGGTCATTATTTAAATTGCTAGTAGGATTATGCCTATCTCTTTCATATTTTATAAACACCTCATTTAAGTTGATTATTTCTGATAATTTAATACTCAACACAGCTTAATGTAATAAACAAATTAACTTTATTAACAAAGTGGTACCAAAATGTGCCAAATCATGTGGTAAAAGTATGCTCACATAGGGAAAAGTACGTGCTGATTAAAACAGCTTATCATAAATAAGTTAAATTGAATCGTCTTAGAATAAGTTCTAATAAAAAAAGACTATAGATAACAGATAATTTATAGTCTATTATGCAAGCAATAACGGGGGTATCGTTCCTGGTTTTGAACAACATCTTCACATCATCTACTGCAACTTGCCACTGAATTCTTGTAAATCTTGCATTGGGAGCCGGTTCCATTTCTGATCAATTACTACCCACTGGACCTCTCTAATGTTTCTTCCTTGGCGATTACTGCTTTCCTTTACTGCTCTGCCAATCATGCCTCAAGCAGGATCTACTACATTGAGATCTGGCGAACATGCAGGCCAATCCATATTGGGGATATCATGCTGTTGCAGCACGTCTTGCACGGCCTGTACTTAATGGATGGGCTCCTTGTCCTGCACCAAAATGATGTTTCTTCCTGGATTTGCCTGAATGCGTGGTTGTGTGTGCATTAACAGGATTTCGTCTCTGTATTGTTGACCAGACCTTTGAATGATGTACAGTGGCAATTTTTCACCAATTTTTTAATTAGCAGCCCCAGACCATGACGGATCCTCCTGAACACGTAGGAGAACACAATCATCATGAAACACTTGGTTTAGACCTTTCCGGACTCTTAACCGACCATCTGCATACAGCAAATTCAGGCCTACCCAACTACCATCCTGAATTAACCGGTATATCGCACCACACTACCCGTTTTTAAGAAACGGTGTGTGTCAGACCGCATTTCGGAGTATCATACCCCAGAACAAATTTTGCAGGACGACTGCGGGCTCATCCACGCTCGGCTGTCACCTTGATTGGATAGTAAACGATTGTCGTAAAATCGCTATATGATTTAAAACCGGGTGCATACATTTGAAAACCACCTAGAACAACCTTAGACTGTACTCTTACTTTAGAGTACTCTATTTTATTGTCTCTATGGGGGTATATGGGCACTTTACGACATTCGGTTTGAATGTTTTAACACCTTTTGATAGGGCTTTTTTGCATTGTATTAGATTAACGTGGCAGTCTAAGGTTGTTCTAGGTGGTTTTCAAATTTATGCACCCGGTTTTAAAATCATATAGCGATTTTACGACAGTCGTTTACTATCCAATCAAGGTGACAGCCGAGCGTGGCTTCATCCTGTCGGTGTTCTGACTGATACTCCGAAATGCGATCTGACACACACCTTGAAAACGGGTAGTGTGGTCCGATACACCGGTTAATTCGGGATCCTTAGGTGCCGAGTCTGGTAGTTGGGTAGGCCTGAAATTGAATCCACTCTCTTTACTCCATAGGACCCTTCGTCAAGTTCTGGGTTTCCATCTTTCTCGGTATCTGGTCATGCCAATCCATGGCCAGAAATGCGCAGCATTCACGCGATACGCGAGGGCGCTACAGTAGGGCTTTACGTGACTCAACTAGCCAATCACAGCACAACAATGGCATCGCACACAGACTCTGTGATAAGTGCTCAGCCCATTGTCAAGTAGTGTTAGTTCATGGTAACAAGCGTCTGACCTAGGCAGAGAAGTTTATTGTAATATATGTTGTTCTTATTGTTGCATTATTAAATCTAACTCTGTATCCAAGTAGTAACTATACTGTACCAAGTCAGGTACTGATGATGCGCAGAGGTCATATATTCCAGAATAAGCCATTTCCACTAATTTATAACTTTAATTTTGTTTAATATGTTATTCATGAAAGAGTTCATTTTTTAATTTGTTAAATCGTGATCTTATTCTTTTTATATTCAAATAATTGAATAATGTGGGTAAAATTGGTCTTCCACTTCTTATTTGCATTTTTCCTTTACTACAAGATTATTTTGGAACAGTTGCAGCATTAAAATTTAAAATAAATAGCAATCTGAAAGAAGAATTTTGCATTATCATTAAATGATGATAGGAATTTTGGATTAAGAGATTAGTTAAATACTGAGTAGTGATATTGTCAGTCAATTTATGTAGAATCTGATAATATGAGTGAAAATACTGATTGAATTCTTAGCCTTGCACTGGGCAGTTTCACATTTGTACCAAGCGCTTTTTTTGGACTCCATTGTACAGTGGTAAAAGTTCTTCAATTGCCATGAAAGTTTTAAATCAGACTCCGTATGGTGCTGCTATCTGCTGGTGCTTTCGGCAACGAATTACATGTAGTTTGCCTTTGTTTCTGAGTGAATCTACCGTCTAAAATCACTATATTTGAAAATATGTGCGTTTTGCTGAGTGTAGGCTAGGCAGTACACGGCAAACTTCTTAGTACGTGTGTACAACAGAATTTTTTTTAAAACCCTAGCGATATTTGGTCAGGAGTTGCTTGAAGCATAGCACAGCGTTGCTGTATATCGGCATCAAGTCGTTAGTTTGTCAATTATCACGAATTACCCACGAATCGTGAACCCATTCATTTTCCTATGGCAGTCTAGCAACTCATTAAAAGTGCACGCATGCGCAGTGGGCTAAGCGTGACGTCATGCAGTGCATTTCTGGGGATGCTTATCTGTTCATTTCTGTTGGGCAACGGCGGTTTTTCACAGGGTCTTCTAGATGGAAGTCCAGCTTCTAAAAGAAACTTGTTGACTGTTTGCCTTCTGACTCGAACTACTGCAGGCCAGATGTTTCTCAGTTGTTTGGCCGGCATGAACCGTTGCTGGTGGCAAGTCTATCTCTTGCGTCGGTTAATCTCGATCTACCACTCCGAGGCCTGTCCCTTACATGATGAGTTTGGTGCCATTTTTATGTAAACCCCAATCCATTCCCTACTCCAAAATGTACTAATAATATGGGATTCCGGACTTCCATTTCGAGGACTACCATCACTGTCACCAAACCGTCCCTGTCGATTTTCAGCGCTTTGACAATGTAAAGAGGTAAAGGAAGTAGATGAAATTCTAAATACATTCATTTGTCCACCCACGTTGCTCAAGGTAAAGCTGAAAAATAGCAAATGCCATTTCTGGTTTACGGTCCATGCAATGGTTCTTGCAGACCAGTCACTCTCCTTCGTCTGTCAACCCCGGTGATTTTTACGTGGGAAATCTGGGTTGAATTCTTGAAGCATGGAGCCTTCTTTAATCAATCCTTTTTTTAAATCTCAATCTGCAAATTGTGCGACGACTGCAAAGCTAATTTGCTGCACGGTTCAAATCCCCTAAGCTTTGGCAGCGTAAAAAGACGCCTGTCGTCTCTGGCACTAGTCTTCTTTGGATGGCCACTGCGTGGTACTTTATGGGCATCGCCAATGCCATCCATCCTTCTGTAAACCCCGCATACAGTCTGACCAGACACCATATCTGGCGGCTGTGTGGGGACATCTATACCCGCCTCCTTCAGAGAAACAATTTCTTTTCTTTTTTCATTTGTGAGCTCCCGTACCTTCACCGTGGTAGAAACTTGACAGCCAGAAAGTCGTTAAACAAACGATGAGACCCTTTATAGTGTACATGGATCAAAATCCATCACTTGTTACGCGAACAATAAACCGTGAAACACTTTTTTACGAACAAATCCCCGTCACATATAGAGCACTATTTACACAGATAGTGCAATACTTTTGTCACCCCTCCGTTTCATTTAGTAGAATAAATGTGCAATAATCCTTGAGGTGAAATGCGTTTCAACCATAAAGTATTGTGGGGCAGTTCTCAAACTTGCGTCTTCAGTATGACGAGTGCGTATGTATTATACGTCTCCCTGACTCGCTGCCTGTCAGTAACATCTCCCGTATTGTCAATATACCTATATAATTTATTATGTATGTAAGCTAATATATATGTAAGCTGTATACATGAAGGTCAGGCCACTAATGCATGAGGATTATTCAAATCACGTACAGCCTAAAATGCTAAAATAATGCAACAGAGTAGAAAACCTTGGCCTCTTGAAATATTGTGTCTATTTTGTTGAGAAATCAAACGTAGTTTTCCAGCTTTTCCCGATGTCTTCACGAAAACATATCATATGGAATGGCGTACGTATAAAACACTGCCCGGGACTTGAAACACGATTGCCTACGATCCGAGATTGGGATGTAGCAGATGATGTTATATTTGTCACTTCATTCCCAAAGACCGGTGAGTTATCTGAATGAGGTTGTTCAATATTTTTCAATATCAAAGATTTCATTTCTTAAAGAAGGGTTAAATAAAAAGTAAATTGAATATGCAGGGAAAGTAAAACTGAAGAAAACAACGGTGTGCTTACTTTTTTTCATGCACTATAATAAATCCATTCATCTGTTTATTATATATATATATATATATATATATATATATATATATATATATATATATATATATATATATATAAAATAAACAGATGAATGGATATATACATATATATATATATATATATATATATATAAAAATATAAAAATTCTGGGGTCCATAATACTGTAAATGCTTCAACTAATGCCCCAACAAATAGGTACTTAGTTATCCGACTTCGATTCGAAGGGATGGTGAGAAACAATTGTAGGTTAAGGCAGCAGGAACTCGGCAATTGGATGACCAAAGAAGTCAGTTTGTCCGTGTTTTTAGTCTCAGACCTAGCCATACTGATTGGCTTAAGATCTTTTAACAAAAAGTTATAGCCCGAATGTTATCCGCGTTGAATCCGAAGTAGTCTATCAACATGGAATAAATGAATAGGGGATTTCAGTGTGCATGAAAGGTTCATCAAATCGGGTAGTTAGTAAGCTGAGCGCCTGTGCTGTGTTTTATGGGCATATTTGGGACAAAGAAAGTCATGGCACGTAGTTAATTGGTTCACATATTATTCTAATTGCACCGAGGGTGAAAGAGACGAGATGGCAGGGTAATCAATGAACTCAGCTTACTATTTTCTTGGGAGTTCTACCCCTGTGATACTGGCCAATACATTTCATGTTAACATATGCTTAGGGTTCTTTTTCTAAATTTAAGACACGACCTTTTCAAAAACGAAAAAACAGCAAAAAAATTTCATAACGCAAATTTCCCCCTGACAATGCAGGTACGTACTGGATGATGAAGACTGTCAGTATTTTGGTAGATGCGAATCGGAAATATAACGGAGACGTCGATATCCCAGACTTTGACTCAGTATCTTCTTGGCTGTTTTTGGAGGAATTGGAAAGAGAGCAACTGTTAATGCCAATTAGACCATCAATGGTAGTAACAACACATATCCCAAGAGGTCTGTTGCCTGTAAAGATATGGAAAAATAATAAAGTAATCCACACATTACGGAATCCCAAAGACACTGCCGTATCGCTGTATTTTTATCAAAGAGACAGAGGTTTCTGCATGGGTGATTTTGAGCAATTTCTACAGGGATTCATGGATGGAGAACGTGCGTGCTGGGGTTTGCTATCTATCTATCTATCTATCTATCATACATATTGTTTCAAACACGTCTGTGTGGCCGCTTTTTGGCATTCATCTGCCTCTTTTTCTGTCTAACTGATCGGTTTTCTGTTTATTTGCTCATTTCAAACGGTTTAATATTGAAGAATCATTTCAAACCGATGATTTTAAACAGCTATTGCCCTCTTTATAATATATGTATAGTGTTTTGATGCAAAATTTAGCATACTACGGTTTGAGTAAGTTTGAAAAGGAATAACATTTCATATGATCACTTCATCTTGTGTTTTTTGTTGAATGTGCTTTATATACATAGTGGCACATGGCAGTTGGTTTGACAAGGAGCTGGACTGGTGGACACACGAGAGACAAAACCCAAACGTTCTGTTCATGAGTTACGAGGAGCGGTTGAAGGTAAATATAACATTGGTAAAATTGGTGTTTAGAATTAACTGTATATGTATGGTTGGCAGTAGTTTGTTAAGGCTTTTAGCACAGCTTCAGTTTATCGTGCTAGTGTGTATTTGTGTGTTGGAGGACCATACCTGATACTGTATTGAAACTTCTTTCTTTCAGGCACCCGAAGAATCTACATGGAAATTAATTGAGTTCCTTGGACTATATAATATACCCAGGGACAACTACTTTCTGCAAGACGTATTGAAAAGAACCTCGTTTGAATCCACGAAAGAGACAGACGGCCCTGTGATTAATAGAAGTTTAGATTTTAAAACTGGAAACTTTTTCAGAAAAGGTATGTTTCATGCAAATAAGCACCGGATGATACACATTAATGATACCCAATGAATCACGGAACTATTTCAATATCACAATATGGAGTCACAAAGTATGAGTCACGTATTCCGCTTTGTATCAAATAGGCAATAATATATTACACGTGCACATGTTTTGACGCATATCTCTGTCAGAATCAAATGTAAGGCGACACGGTTAAAATATCAGTTTCCCCCATTTTTGGTCAGGTGACACACCTGCAGTATGTTGTAAATACTGAAAGTTAAGCTGAATTGAGCTATTTTTTTTTATTTCAGGGCATGTTGGTGACTGGAAGAATTTCTTGACAGTAAAACAGAATGAAGAATTTGACAAAGTATACCGTGACAAAATGAAGGGTAGCGACATCCCCATACAGTTTGAGGGATAACTTTTTTCTCAAGCGTGCATATATACTGCATATATACTGTATATATCCTGGAAATTCCACTGGTAGGTTTGAGAAATATGAATATATAACACGATTTTACATAAACGGGATATGAAATTCATAAATGTGCTACACTGAGAATAAAATCGGAGTCCAAGTGACTCCAAACTTGGAGGCCAGCAGTGGTGCCTAAAATAACTCCCAATTGGAGTCAAGTTGACTCCATGGAGTACTGCCATCCCAGACCCCACAGGAGGGTCACAATTGACTCCATTCACACATCCCTTCATCCCTTGATTTATCTCTACAACAGAGTCACTCTGACCTCATATTAAAGGGTTTGCTTCATGCCGTCAGAATGGCCTGAACGGAACATATTCTTCAGAAAACATGCCCAACTAACGATATCTTTATCCAAATACACAAATTAAAAGCTCATTTTGTAAATTTTTGGCTTTAAAAAACGTCCTATTTGCTCGGCCTGGGAGTTAATGAGCTACGTGGTCACGTGGTCCAATGACGACAATCGAGCCACTGGAATACAGAGCGTGCTTAGCTGTCAAACTGAGCTGCATTGTCTACCTGTAAGATGACTTCTCT